CAAACTACTTATTGTTAGTAACTTCCCGACAGCGCTATCATTTATGTCATTGCGCACCTACCAGCATTTCCGTTCCTACGAACCTCACTTAATCTCGAACCATATTCATTGTTGCAACGGCCCATTTGTCTGCCCCTTGAAGAGCCAGCATCGTAAACCATTCAAACAATTTGGGTTTTCTTGGCAAGACAGGTTTTTCTTATGATAAACCTAGTGATTAAGTGTTTGACAACAGATAATTTACATATCACATTCAGTCAGACTGACTGGAGGGTCTCTTTTATACGAAAACATCATGAATTATAATAGCGGGCTAAGGGCTGTTTATGTATTTGTGTGTGTATATATGTGTGTGTGTGTGTGTGTGTGTGTGTGTGTGTGTGTGTGTGTGTGTGTGTGTGTGTGTGTGTGTGTGTGTGTGTGTGTGTGTGTGTGTGTGTGTGTGTGTGTGTGTGTGTGTGTGTGTGTGTGTGTGTGTGTGTGTGTGTGTGTGTGTGTGTGTGTGTGTGTGTGTGTGTGTGTGTGTGTGTGTGTGTGTGTGTGTGTGTGTGTGTGTGTGTGTGTGTGTGTGTGTGTGTGTGTGTGTGTGTGTGTGTGTGTGTGTGTGTGTGTGTGTGTGTGTGTGTGTGTGTGTGTGTGTGTGTGTGTCCGTTACGAAATTCGTAGAGCGAGTTCCATCTAACTTCTTGAGCCTAAATTTTGTACGGTGCATGCTAGCAGCATGAAAGTCCGCTATGCAAAAGCACGAGCGAACTCGTTCAGTGAATCCCTCAAAGATTGCTCTTTAAACGGATCCACTTGGCTTGCGGCCAGCAAAATTGGGCCTGTACCACCACTTTTTGCAAAACATGAATATGATCAACAAGCTAATGTGCAAGCCATGGACTTTAGCCCAAAAATTGAAGTAAAGTTGATTACTTTACAAAAATGGCGCCACAGAGAATAAGTTGCATAAATGTTTAAATTGCCAAGATTTTACCTGATTTGAAAGATTTTTGCACAGGGATGTAGCCCACGGTGATTATTGTCGTTATGGCGACTACTAAGCCATGAAAAGTCCAAAAACCGATTCAGATTTCCATTTATTCTTCTCGGTAAAATTTCATCCGCGCAAATATACCAATGTCACACAAAAAACTCTCAAAATGAGTAGCTGTTTACTAATCATTCGTGATAGGCTGCGTAGCACGGTGAGCTTCAGTGTCATTATTATGCGGGAATGAGTAAGACATACTGAAAGTAGGGTCAGTACGAGCCTCTGCGAAGCAGAGGTGACGCACTGATTTGTCTATAACTCAGATAAAGTTTATTGACAACGTGAGGGCATTTTTCAGTGCTACAATGAATTGGAAGTTGCTCTCCCAACAAGGCCTTCACACTAAAATAAGCTTACTTTTCATTATCTTTCTTCCAAAACGTTGATGTGTATGAGGTAGAACTTTTGAAAAATCAAAGAAATGTTAGTTCTGTGTATTGAGTCCAGAAGAAAATGGTTAATTCATCTTTAAAACAGAGTTAACATAATCGAAATTGACCATCTCACTTGAGTGGCCCAAAATTTGGGAACCTCAAAGTTCGCTGGAACTTGGTCCACAAGGGTTATCAGAAATGTTACGAAAATGATGCTCTTATGCTTTTAAAGACCTTTTATTACGCTTATTGACACACATGATGATGGTCCAAAACATCAATGTGTTAGTATTTCGTATGACAAACCTATCTGACATTGCTAACGAATATCATGTTATGGCTAACATCAGAATCACCTTGGTAGCGACCCCTCCCCCTCTCCCTGATCCCTCGATGCGAGCCTCAGGTGTGGTATGCCACACCCCACGCTTGACCCTGATGACAGACTTTGTAAGTGATGCACACGAAAAGCCTTGCTGTTTCCATGCTCATGCACATACAAAAGTTTTTCATATAAATTCCCAACGATCCCATCTTTGTCTCTCAACATTTCTTTTCAGATCATGGCCGCATCACTTACAAATTATTCCAGTCCAAATGCTGTTCCTGTTGTTTTATGCGAAAAAGTATGTTTGTTATGCTTAGTGATAGTTATTCAGCTGAGAGTAATTTCGAAGAAAAAGGACGAGTTTCAAGAGAATTCTGAAGCAAGTTTTAGGGCGAGCTACTTTAGGGTTGAGCCAGACTGCACTGCATACGCGACGTATGCGACGTGCGCGGCGTACGCGGCGTACGCTCGGTAAAGTAAGTTTCAACCCAGTTCAGGCGGAAATTGGAGCAGGGCCGGCACGAGGTGGCTAGATGAACATGGAAAAAACGTAGTCCCCCTTGACTTTTGGGAATTACAAAGTCCCTTTGACCCTCAACCAAATTTCCTCTAAAAACCTGAAAAATTCCCCAAAATCCCCCAAAAAACGAAACGTCGACTAAAAAAACGTCGCCAAGTCGCCAAATTTTGCGTCTCTCTTCAGTCACAAAAACGAATTTCCCTTGCTTGTAAGCCACCTGTGAAGAGCCCTGAATTGGACTGGCGGGAGTCCACTTCTCAACGATTCGCGCCGCTCTGCGTCTCTTCATTCTAATCTATCTCGCTGAGCCAGTGACGGTGCGAACGCGCTGCTCCACTTGGAATGTTTCGTCTACAGTGAAAAAGACTGTATGTTTCATCATGGCAACGTACGTCGCGCAGTCTGGCGCAACTTTTAAAGAGCAAGTCATGGTTGCAATTGAGGACATGTCCGAGTCCCTCGCACAAGTGCGATGACGAAACATTGGAGCAGAAACGAATAATGCTGCGAAATTTGGAAACTTACGTTCTAATAAAAAAGCTCACCGCTTGCGCATTTTGAACTGCAAACCAGAGAGATAGCGCACCACTGTATGTAGTCGAATGGGAGCGGTAGTCCCACGCGGACATCTGCGACAGGCCACCACACCAGTGGCGGACCGAGGGGGGGGGGAGCGGGGAGAGGGCGCGCGCTCTCCCCCCCCCCCCCCCTTCCCCAAGAATGGGTCGCAAAATTTTTGCATTTACTTACATGGGCTATAAAATTAAAGTGCAAGTAACTTGCTTATCCTTGTAAATAATAAAAATAACTTTCAAGATTTCTTGAGAATTTGAATCAGCTTTGTAAAAAAAATTTTCCGAGGCGTGGCTGCCGCCATGGTCCCTTTTTCTGGATTTTAGGGGTTATGGATTCGCAAAAATTTTGAGAAGCACCCCAAAAAATTTTTTTCCGCGTGCGTTGCTGACGCCACGCTCATTTGAAGAAACTTTTTGCGTCCAACCCTACATCTCCCTCCCCCGACGAAAATTTTGTGACCGCCACTGCACCACACATATTACAGATTATGAAAGATTTATTACAGATTTGTACCTGTTGTGCGCGCGGGGTGGAGCCCATTGGCGACGTATAGCCGCCTTCGAGAGTGCGAGTGCTGCCACAGTCATGATGAATAGAGTCCTACAGCGACTCTGCTTAGCGTTGGCGGTAACTAGCTGGTCAGAATTCAAATCCAAGGGATTTGAAAATTGCCTAATCTTGCCGCTGTGTTCTTCAACAAGAGAGAGTCACGATGTCGAAGTGGTCGGTCATCACATGCCGCACACCATTATTGAGAGCTTGGTCTGCTAATTCGGAATTTGTTCTCCATATTTGCGGAGCGCTTTTGGAAAGAAGTTGTGGTCATTGAGGCGAGGAAATAAGCCAAGGCCGGAATGAAATCGATCGTTACAACCTTCTCAACGTCAAATGGAGAAGTTGGATGTAATGATATATTGAACAGAAGGGGTTTACTCTACAAAGCATCCTGACTTTTACAAAGCATCTGCATTATCCAAAGTCTACAGCTTTTTTCAAGGAAAGGGAAAGCGGATTCGGAATCAGCGCTTGAACCTCTCATTGATGGTATGTATGCAGCTTGCGGTGATCGGCCACTTCGACTTCGTGACTTTCCTTTGTAAGAATATTTTTGGACCAAGCGTAGTGGATAAGCTCAACTAAGCACTTTAAAAATGAGTTTTGCTCTGACACTGCTTTCAACCCCCTACCGCTGTTCATTTGTGCTTTCTTTACTTGCAATTAAGAAATTTTAGTCTAAGATGTCTTGAATAGTACGCTTTATGTCTCTGGACTCCGTAATTTGATTTCAGATTGCCGAAGTTTTACGAGCACCGCTTTACCGTGCCGCCCAGCTCGTTAGTGCTAGCGAGTCCATTGGGGCGGTTGTATGCATCGTATACGTGTTGGTCGTATATAAGAAAATGTTCAACGTCCATTCCAACACTGCTGTGAGGATTTTCTGTATCAGCATAGTTCGCATGTTGCAAGAATTGTATTTCAGCTGCTCCTATACCTTCTGCATATACTATGCCTAGTTCATGCGGTCGTTTACATAGCATCGAAGGTGAAGTTGGAACTATACTATAACGCGTTGGCGCCATCGCGCATTTTTAGTTGCCTGCATGTGGGACAATGCCTTTAAAAAAAAGTTGGGAGATTTTGACTAAAAATGCGCAAATCGTCAACTAGTGTAAAATGAAAGAAATTTAGAGAGGCAGTCGAGAAACGTGGAAGCAATGTCTAGATTTAAAACGCATGATGTCTTCTGAAACGAATATATTCCAAAATGGTACTCAGTTTGGCAAAATCTAAGCTATGACCCACCATGTGGGTCACGTTGTCATCAGTGTGTCAATAAACGAAGTATCATACACTGTCAAGAAAAGTTCACAACAATCGATGACCCTTAGTGTAGCGTTGTGCAGAAAACATGTCTTTTCAGTTTCGCTCCGGAAATACGACTGAGCAGTTATTAAGTTGCTTAATGACGATAGAAGAGTCCGATATAGTTTTAAAAGATCAACTCTTTGGATTTGCTCATGAAATCAAGCTCTTTAGATCACCCAGCTTCACATATCCTTCTTTACCACTAATCCATGCCACATGTTTCTACCAAGGGATTTTTATCTTGTCAGCTTTCACCTGCTTTTGTTTTGCAATAACGGGTTGTTCAACACTCTAGCAGCAATGGTCGTTGAACGATGTGTGGCAACCGTTCTAGTCAACGTCTATGAAAGAAGATTTCAGTCACTAGGCATCCTTGTTGCAGTTATAGCGGTGCGTATTCAGTGCTTGTCGATTCAGCAAATGTAAATTCTCGCACTTTAGCTGTTTATTTCATTGGTGGAGACTTGTGGCGGATACAAGGATGTAGTTGGAAATCAGCTCATGACCAACAGTTTCATCCATCCAGGTACAAAGAACACAGTGCTTAATATTGGTTTCGCAGTGCTATGGTTGATCAGCTGTACACTTCTTATAGTCACCGTTTCGTTGTATTGTTTCAACAAAAGGCGAAAGAAGAGGTTTGCAACTTTCTGTTTTACAAAAATAGCAGTCTTTTCGTGAAGCATATATTGCCATTGAAGCACTTGCTTTTGAAGTTTTATGGTCAATTGTCTCAAAGGTAGATCTGTCCCTAGTCCTCCAACACAACAAAGACTATTTTTTGTTATCTTCCCTTCCACTTCAAAACTTTTTATTGTAGATAGATGAAAGCACCAATCAACCAAAAGGTTATGTAATTTGTAACTCCCCGCTAACCTAACTAGCCTATTAATTTTTTGCCGTGCAATATATTAGGTTGAACCGAAAGTTCTGTCGCACCATTTTCAAAAAATCATAACTTCTTTCCCTCACAACGGTTTTGCACAATTCAAATTTTAACTGAAAGAGTAAAGCATGTAGTTCCAATAGTTCTCTGAAGACTTTCCAACATGCTCAGATTGCAGAGATAAAAATGAAAGAACGAGATCATCCGAAATTCGGAATTTTTAAGCAAGAATTCTAAAAATTCAGAAAGTGTGCGATAAAATCCAGAAAAGCCATTATCCTAATTTATCTTACATTTGATTACTATCTGAGTCAAGTTTGCGCTGATCGAGCCCTTCTTTCAAAAGTTATGATTTTTTGAAAAATAATGCCGAAAAATCAATTTCCTAAGAATCCTTAAGAAATGGATTTTTTGGCATTTTTTTTCAAAAATTCATAACTTCTAAAAGAAGACCTCGATCAGTACAAACCTGACTCACTTAGTAATCAAATGTAAGAAAAATTAGGATAATGGCTCTTCCGGATTTTATCGCACTGTTTCTGAATTTCTAGAATTCTTGCTCAAAAATTCCGAACTTCAGATGATCCCGTTCTTTCATTTTTATCTCTGCCATCTGAGCATGTCGGAAGCTCCCTAGGGAGCTTTTGGAAAATACATGCTTTACGCTTCCAGACAAAATTTGAATTGCGCAAAATCGTCGTGACCGAAAGAAGTTATGATTTTTTGAAAATGGTGCGACAGAACTTTCGGTTCAACCTAATATTAGGTTTCCTCATAATTAATGCACGTTTTTATTTGCTTGCTTCAACAAAGCAAGCAGACTCAACCCAACAAAGGGTAAGGGGTACTGTTCGATAGAGCAAAGCAAGCTCTACAAGATGGCACTCATGCCTTTGCGCCGTGCTCGACCCACGGAGAGTTTGAACTCAAAATCGAAAGATTTCCAAATGCCCAAAAAATCGAAAAAAATCAGTTCTTCGTCCAAATAATTTCAACGGACCTCCCACTCGCTCACATCAATACTATCGATATCTGAAATCCATATGTGCGATTGCCGTATTTTTTCCTTGACTAGAAAGTGAGAAAACGAAAATTTCCCTGATTTTTTCAAAGCAATGCCGAGCCGTTTTTGCATATGTAGTTCTATACTACAAGCCTAGGTAAGTATAACTGTAGGTTTTCAGCCCATTCCAAGCGGTAGTTTTCGAAAAATAACGAATTCGGATTTTTTCGTTTCAGTTTCAGTGCTAAAATCGACATTTCTCGAAAAGTACCGCTCGAAATATGCTGAAAACCTGCAGTTATGCTTACCTAGGCTTGTAGTATAGAACTACATATGCAAAAACGGCTCAGCATTGCTTTGAGAAAATCAGGGAAATTATCGTTTTCTCAGTTTCTAGTCAAGGAAAAAATACGACAATCGCACATATGGATATCAGATATCGGTAGTATTGATGTGAGCGAGTGGGAGGTCCGTAGAAATTATTTGGACGAAGATCTGTTTTTTTTTTCGATTTTTTGGGCATTTGGAAATCTTTAGATTTTGAGTTCGAACTTTCCGTGGGTCGAGCATGGCGCAAAGACATGAGTGCCGTCTTGTAGAGCTTGCTTTGCTCTATCGAACAGTACCCCTTACCCTTTGCTGGGTTGAGTCTGGTTGCATTGTTAAAGCAAGCAAATAAAAACGTGCATTAATCATGAGACAACCTAATATTAGGTTGTCCCGAAAGTTTTGTCCGTTGTTTCAACCTATCATAATAACACGAGAAATGAAGGTAGGTAAACGATTCAGTAACTATCTGAAGCAGCTTTTCCCCTTCTTTCCAACTGTCATGATCTCATGCCGACTACTCTTTTGCTTAGTGAGATAAACGCCGAAATTTCGAACCCGTGTTTTTTACTATGTCCAAGTTTGGCAATTTTTCACAAACTTCATTTTCAACTTTTGGAAGACCTTTGATAGCGCTCAGATAGAGTAAACAAAGGGCAATGCAATGCAATTTTTTGGCTTATCCAGCTGGCTTTTCAATATTCTTTAGGATGATTTTTTCAAAATCTTCACTTTTGCAAAGTCCCAAAATACAGAAACGCTTCGAACACTAACAAATCACCATTTTGAAGCTTTCAAAAACCGATTACGATTATTCACTATTTTTAAGAAGCAAATGAGCGTTTACCTCTTTGAAATATAAGGTTCTGCATTTTACGTGTACACGCTGGGGTGGGATCAAATTCAAGAATTATGAAAATTTTATCGCCAAAGACCCCGCAAATTGGAGAGAAAATACACTCACTGGAAAGAGCAGGGAAAGCTGCATCGAATAACACCTTAGTTGTGCGCCGTTTCGTGATCTCTAGCTTTTGGCATCACCAAAAGTGGAATTTGGTAGCATCAGAGAAATAATTCCAAAAAAATTTATAAGGCTAGCTATAGATGCCGCAAAATTACATTATATTGCCCTTTGTTTGCTCTATCTAACTGCTACTAGAGCTTTTCCGAAAGTCAAAAATGAAGATTGTGAAAAATTGCCAAACTTGGACGTAGTAAAAACCATGGGTTCGAAATTTGGGCGTTTATCTCAGTGAGCAAAAGAGTAATCGGCATGGGAGCAAGACAGTTAGAAAGGGGGAGAAAAGATGCGTCGAATAGTGCTTAGAGCTTTTCCCTATCTTCGTTCCACGTGTTTTTATGATAGGTTGAAGAAACGGACAAAACGGGACAACCCAATATAAAAGGTTCATCTCAGACTTTTTCCTTACTCTGTATTATTCCCATTTCGATGAACTGTTCGGATTATCAATAATTTGCAAACCTCAAAAACGAATGGCATCAGACTTGTTTAATACGGGCAAGACGCTTTCGAGCAGAGTTCTCTCTGCCTACGGATGCATGAAGAGAAAAATATTGAAAAGCAAGTTGCGAAAAATGGCTTAGCACGATCGGACTATCCCAGAAAAGCTTCATTTGAGCATGCGAAATCCAATGTAAAGAAAGTCTTTTTGATGTTCGAGTGGTGCAGTGTTATTTCTTAGGTTTGCACTGAAAAATACGGGGTTGAGGGAAAGTCTTTGAACAGGGTATTTCTAACGTAATGAAGCTAGGCAAGATGATTACATGAATAGGTAATGTTTACTCAACTGTCTGCTACACAGAACTGGATTTACAATTCGAAGATTCCTCCTTTGATGCGAACACAAGCTCGAAACGCTTGGGAACGATGTCCATGGTAGCACGGAAGTGCTTCACGTCGATTTCTTCCCACGTCTTTTGAAGAGTATTTCGCAGAAACTCCACAGTCATGCGCGGGTGAGCGCAGGCTTTGGCCTAAAGAAGACCACACGCTGTAGTCGGGGGTATTCAGATCCGGCCAACACGGAGGTACGGAGGCCATTCCGCAGGAGTAATGAACTCCTTGATGTTGCTTTGGGGCCATGTTTGAGGAAACTTCGCTTTGTACGCAGGTGTTCTATCCTGCTGGGGACACCAATCGCTCCTGGCAAAATGGGTATTGGTCCAGGCCAACAATCCCTTCTTCAGGCTGCTCTCCACGTGCTTAGCGGTGTTCAGTTCGATGTGCTGGGACACAAAAATCGCCTGCATCTTGCTGCGGTAGCGATCTCCGCGCAAACATTACAGAAGCCGGATGCAGCTTTCCTTCTGCGAGTCAACCCTTGCTATTGACTTTTGGGGGCGATTAAGTATTGATCCTGTTGTTTGGTGATCAAAAACTTTCCTCACGGTGAAAATTTTGACGTCAGAAAAGAGTATCGTTCGGTGGTGCCTTGGAGAGACATTCAAGCAGTTGATGGCATCTGCGCAGCCAGCCCAGCTTCGTGTCCTCCCAAAAAGCATGAAATTTTAGCATCCTGAAAAGCTTCATCGCAAGGCCTTTTTTACGATGCCGGAGATTGTCCTGCCAGAGATGGACAGCCCTGAAGCCAGCTCAATCAAGCTTCGCCGAGGATTGCGACGAAGGCGTTGGCGAACGATTTTCATAAGTTTGCTACTGTCCCCAGTAGCCAATCTACTACTCATATAATAGTCCTGGGTGCTGTTCCTATCCTGGAAACGATTGGAAAAGACCCTGATCTGTAAAATTTGGAGAGCCCGCGCAATTTGTCAGCCATCCTCTCCTCATGCATCTTCTCCACCAACGCTCGCTCCATTCCAGAAGGCATATCTCCGGTAGAAAAAAGCTAATAGTCTAGTTCTTTGAGAGCTTGTACTCAAGAGTATAAGAAGCAAACACATATAATCAGCATAAATTTGTGGAATGGCCGAACGTAAATGGACATAAATTGTTCGAGGACTTTCCCCCTACCCTGTATAATGAAATGAAGAGTAATTGAGGTTACTTTGCAGGATGCAAGCAAACCAGCGCCGCCATTGAAGACTTTTAAGGGCCTAACAAGAGGGAGAATTATGAACGATATTGTTGTTAATATGTAGCTTTGAATGCAGAATATATTCATGTATGACACCCAACTGGAGCGGGTGTACTAACTTGGACGAAGATTACCATTGCTTCTAATTTGCAAAACTTTTCATGAGTTTCTCAAAACAACTTTCTCGTTCTCATATTCACTCCAAATTCCAAGTCTATCATAGCTTGTTGTACAAGCCATTTGTCATTTTGGTATGCACTCCTTTTGGAGATACTTCAGAGCAAAGATTGTGTAAAGGTGGTCTTGGTTAAACTTTTTCGCACTAGTGAATGTCTGGGAGGGCGTTTCCAAACATGAAGTTTGACATGATGTATGTTTTTCAATTTTTTGGGGAGCTCAGCTCCAACCGCGCACAAAACTACAGTTTGCTTTTCCAAGTTATTCAGCCTGCTTTGTAGCAGTAGCGGAGTCTCGAAGGAGGTAGGCGGAGAAATGGGATTAAAGTAACTGATTTCAATACTTTTCTTCTGCCGTACAGGTTGTTATAAGTGATACTTTGTTGCTTAACGTTTCGGCACAACGCCGTTGTCAGGGGCTTGAAAGGAGTCAATCACTTTGATTTACGATTTTAGCCGCCAAATACCTTCTCCCACTCGACTTCGAGTGGTCTTCAGTGGAAGCAGGAAGTCTCCGAGTAGAGTTTGACTCACCAGAATGTGCCACCGTAATTTGTAGCAGTCTCAGCTGCTTCAGATGTGTTCAACCGAGCGTTGTTGACAAGAGACAAGAGACAGACGTGTCAACTGACTGCAATGCTGAGAATAAGCAGTCGCGATGGTAACGAACTGCTTAAATAGAGAAAATGATTTTATAGTTTGCAATGTGAAATGGCAGTAGATTTTCAGTTATAGATACCCTATTTTCAGGTGTATAAGCCGCACCTTTTCGAAACGCGAGCAGACCCAGGCGTGCCGCCGCGCATATGTCTCGCGAAGCGGTCGCTTTATCGCATACTGCTCTCACTTAACGCGCTCCATGATGACAGTCAGTCTTTTGGCGTGTCCACTTTTGAAGCGAAAAGGGTGCGGCTTATACACCTAAAAATTAGGGTAATTGTTCATCTTGTTGTTGATCTTGAGGTCACGGCCAAGAATGTAGGATGCCTCGAGAGCCGTTTTAGCGGAGGTATGATTTCGGTAGCCCAAGATTATGCACTCAATGTCGAAATCGGTACCGCTATAATCTATCTTTCTATGCTTTTCAAGCAGACTCATTGCGTTTTGCAGCTTTTTGCAAGCCAAATGCTCGTTTACGCGTACGCACAATGGTCTATCTGTTTCGCCGATGTATATGGCAGAGTACGCCAAACATTCTATTTGATACGCAACGCCAGACTTCGAACAATCTCCAGCTTTTCCATAAGGGCAGATTACGCAATTTCGCGTGGTAAACTTGTCATAAATTTGGTCACGTACCAGCTGTGTTTTGATGTTGTCTCGGGAATTATTCACCAAGACAACTTCGTCTTCCAAGTGTGCTCGTATCATTTGTCTCATCGCAGCACTGACCTTTTCGGGGATGTAAGGGAGGCAAGAGGTATTTTGCTTATATTCTGTTCACTCGCCTTTGCTTATGTTTTCTTTGTTCGTTTAGGGCGCATAGCATAATCATTTGCAGTCATTATTTCAGCTGCAATCTTCAGATTTCCTGTCTTTTTTTCGCCGCTGCAGATGTTAACTGCCCTTTTGATCATATTCCGGATTATGGAATAACGTCAGTCACCATCTGCAGCGGCAAAAAGGAAAAACAGGAATCACTGAGGATGGTAGCTGAAATAATGAAATAATGACTGCAAATGATTGTACTATAGCCCTAGACGAACAAAGAGAACATAAGCAAAGGCGAGTGAACAGAACATAAGCAAAATAACTCTTGCCTCCCTTACATCTCCGAAAAGGTCAGTACTGCGATAAGACAATGCTTGATACGAGCACATTTGGAAGACGAAGTCGTTTTGGTGAATAATTCCCGAGACAACAGCAAAATACAACTGGTACGTAACCAAATTTATGACAAGTTTACCACTCAAAAGTGCGTAATCTGCCCTTATGGAGAAGCTGGAGATTGTCCGAAGTCTGGCGTTACGTATCAAATAGAATGTTCAGCGTGCTCTCCCATACACATCGGCGAAACAGATAGACCATTGTGCGTGCGCGTAAACGAGCAGGCTAGCAAAAAGCGGCAAAAAAAATTGAGTCCGCTAGAAAAGCATAGAAAGATAGATATAGTGGTGCCGATTTCGACATTAAATGCATAATCTTGGCCTACGAAAATTATATCTCCACTAGAACGGCCCTCGAGGCATCCTACACTCTTGGCCGTGACCCCAAGATCAATAATAAGAATGAACAATTATCTATAATGCCATTTCCGACACATTGCAAACCATAAAATAATTTGTTCTATTTGAGCAGTTCGTTGTCGTTGCGACTGCTTATTCTCAGCATTGCAGTTGACACGTCTATCTCTTGTCTCTTCTCAACACCGCACGGTTGAACACATCTGAAGCAGCTGATACTGCTACAAATTACGGTGGCACATTCTGGTGAGTCAAACTCTACTCGGAGACTTCCTGCTTCCACTGAAGACCATTCGAAGTCGAGTGGGAGGAGATGTTTGGCGGCTAAAATCGTGAATCGAAGTAATTGACTACTCAAGGCTCTGGTGACGGCGTTGTGCCGAAACGTTACTCAATAAAGTGTCACTTATAACAACCTGTACGGCAGAAGAAGGGTATTGAAATCAGTTACCACAATATGCCCAGGTTTTAAGACAATTGAACATATGGGACTGAAACTTTATTGTAACAAAAAATCAAACTGACTCCTTCAGCTTTTTTTTCGGCACATTATGCGAAAGAATATGGATTCAGCTATACGTAGCGTCTTAGATCTGTGTTCAATTTGATTTGTTTTTGCGTAGCTGACATCAGTTGCACGTAATAAAAGCAATTTGCAAACATTGTTTATGCTTTTCTCGAATCGTCAACATCCACAGTTGTTGATTTGTCCTCGTGCAAATGATGTTTCAGTGCATGGTACTATAAAAGCGTCAAATGTACTGCTCTATAGCTGGACAACTCCAGCTGGGTTTTACGCAGACCATCAATCCTGTAATTCAGATTGACGTTAACTTCTCGTTACCAGTCCTTGGAAAACGTTTCCACAACGGCACTGCTATGCGTTATTCTTGCCACATACCTGGTTATTTTTTCCACTTATACATGTTCGATGATGTTTTTGAGACTGACCAGAAGTGATGATCCAATGCTTGATGCTTACAAAGAAATGGCTTATGTAAGTTGCCGGATGCTTTTTTGAAAGGCAGCTGTTATGCAGTGTGTTTGAGCTTGTTCCTCTGGAAACACTCCTTATTCCTTTGGGTGCTCTTGTTTTTATGAGTAAATTCAAGCAGAAACGACGATATGGCATCAATGATATCGTCAACGTAAGTTGGCGTGCGATTGCAAAGGGCAATCTACAAAGCAAAATTTTTAGATCGAAACACGTGGACTAAAAGGTTGGGACAATTATGCGGTAATGCTGAATGAACAATGGCACAAATAGGAGAGAAGAATGTCTCAACATCAGTGCAAAGAAATGAAGCGATGTCGAACTCAAAGAAAGTGTCAATCTATGATGCTGCACTAAACAAGCCAAGCGAAAAACATGGGCAAAGGGCACAGAGACTCTCAATCCTTGGCCCGTTCATTACCCTAATTTCACGCGTATAAGGCGCACTTTTTCGAATTTTCAGGCGAGCCGCTCAGCCGGTTCACTGCACCCCGGAAAGAAATCCTCACATCGCACTGTTCTCTCAATCAATATACAGCACGTTATATGTAGGGTCCTTTGGTTGTAAAGTCCTTTGGCGTGCCTGGACTGGCCGATTTTGAAAAAAAATCCCCGCCTTATACGCGTGAAATTAGGGTACTCTTTATACAACAAACTAAAAAAATTCGAAGCGTGTATGTATATCCGCAGCTGCGTTCGGTCTAAACACTGCGAGGCAGAACCGTTTCGAAAAATTGAATATTCATACGCATGTGTAAATTCTCTATTCCTCAAGATTCCAACAGATGCCCATTTTTATCAATAGTGTTTGGTTTCACATCCTATAAAATAATTGAATGACCTCTTGGTAAACCTGTTAAACGTGTAAATGACATGTCAAATTATTTTGACACGTGGCAGAAGGTTGACACTCCTTGCTCTAAAATTGGGATCAAACGTGATATGAGGAAAGAAATATTATCCATCTTTAAAAAATGGGTCCGGACAACGGAAAAGTACTTTTTTTTCTTCTGTTGGTTGGTGTCTCAGTAAGCTGAGACACGGTGAAGATTTTCAGCCTTTTCTAGCTATGCTTAATAGTCTCTGTGGAAGGAAGAGCCTAGATTATTGTTGTTATAGGGAACTTTCAAGAGTAGCAAGTGCTATTGTAAATATACTGCAGGCACTACTCTACTCATCCTAAATGGTATCAGATCCCTGAGTTCCTTCTCTCGCTGAAAATGTTATTCGGCAAGCGCAAAATTGGATAATTTCTTCATCTAGAGAAAGGACCTAAACAAAAGAATTTTTCGGATAATCAGTGTTTTGGAAGAAAGAAGTAACCATGACTCGGCAGTTTTCAACTGTAGTTGTAAACGTCACTAATTATCAAGTTGATGCAAAAGTTCTGTCGCGTCATTCTTGGAAAGTCATAAATTCTTGCTCTCTAATGGGTTTGCATAAGTTTGATTGTGCTAGATAGAGGAAACCTTTCTCTGTGGTAGTGCATTTTCTATTCCCTAATAAGGAGTAGCTTTTGAGATAGAAACAGGAGAATAAAATCATTTCAACTTCGGTCATTTTGAGTTAGGCTGCTAAAAGCTTAAAACTCGCGATAAATTTCCGAGCATGCAGTGTAGTAAATTTTTTAATCCATCTTTCCATCATACAGAGTTTGTTTCA